TTAAAATTTCCTTTCTTTATAAATTTTGTTTAATCTTAAAATGCATTACCGTATTTTCCGGACTATAAGTCGCAATTTTTTTCATAGTTTGGCCGCGGGTGCGATTTATACTCTGGAGCGATTTATGTGTGAAATTATTAACACATGATTATGTCATTTCACGTTATTTTCACATTAAACCACAAGAGGGCGCTCTCGGCCTGTGTTGATAAATCGACGATAAGTCTGACGTAAGCGACGTAGAAGAGGAAGCGGCGCATCGTCTACCTCCCGAGTTGGGGGAGTTGTTTGAAAGTGACACAGAGAATGAAGATTTCATTGGATTTACTGATTTGGAGTGAAACTGGTAGTTTGGTAAACTTGTTAGCATGTTCTTTATGCTAGAGTTATCTGAATAACTCTTAATATGTTACGTTGGTACTGACATTACCAGGCATATCAGTCATGTAACGTTAGTATACCATACACTTATTCAGCCTGTTGTTCTCTATTTAATTTTTATTTTAAATTGCCTTTCACGATGAAGTATGTTTTTGGTGTTGGATTTTATCAAATAAATTTTCCCCCAAAATGGGACTTATACTCCAGTGCGACTTAGATATGTTTTTTCCTTCTTAATTATGCATTTTTTGGCTGGTGCGAGTTATAATCAGGAGCGACGTATAATCCGAAAAATACGGTACTATATTTTTCAATACCAATTGCTTAAAGTTTTGTGCCTTTGTACAATCAGTGGAATCAGTTGCAATGCATATATATGTGAATGATCAAAGTAAATTGCACATTTATCTTAGGAAATTGAAGGCATTTCATGAAATGTTTTGTGAAAGATATGTTCATTAAATTTCAACATTTTCCTAATGTTCTTTTGCTTCACTATACCAAAACAAAGGAAAGACATGATATTTTGGTTATTTATAGCAGATTATGGTATAATTTTAATGGTCCGGCCCACTTAACATCTACCGAGGCCGTATGCGACCCACAATGTGAAATGAGTTTGACACCCCTGTAATAGTAACTCTTGTGCACTATTCTTTTGGAGGGTACTTTTATATGTACTTCCCCAAACTTCAGCACAATAAATCAAATGTGGTCGTATAAGCATAACATGACAAATTTTAACCATTTTAAAATTCCAACTGCATGAAATTTTAAACCTGACAAATTGACCATGATGTTTCCAGCTCAAATTGTGATAATTACTCCCAAAAAATGTCTCCTCATAAACCCTTTCCAATTAAATTCTCACAATCATTGCTTCAGGCAGCTTTTTATTTATGTTGTCCAACCCCCCCCGTCCCGTTTTTTTTTTTTTTTTTTTTTTTTTTTATATTTCAGGATAATTTGTTTTCATCAAACCACAACTTGAGCTTCTCCAACTCTCCAGAAACAAACACTCGTAAATGCGGAAGGCTATTCCTGGCGCAGAAAACATTCATGTCATCAGCACGTCATTGAAACATCCCAACCCACTTCCGATTGATATGTGTCGAACATAAATCAAAACAGACTACAATGATTTGCATATCATTTTCAACCTATATTTAATTGAATACACTACAGAGACACGATATTTAATGTTCAAATAGATCCACTTTGTTTCTAACAAATACAGTCAAACCTCGGTTTTCGACCATAATTCGTTCCAGAAGGCTGTTCGAAAACCGAAACCATGTTTTCCTTTACAATCGATGTACAACATTTTAATCCGTTCCAAGTCGAGAAAACAACTTTTTTAAAAGCATTTTTTTCAACTATAGTGACAATTGTAGATTGCATTCTTTTATACCTCGAATTTATAAACCCTAAAGTAATGGTTGTAACTCTGGACGCTCTGTCTGCAATCCTACACTACGGTACGAGGTAACATCTCTTCATCCATTTTCTGAACCGCTTTATTCACACAAGTCCAGTCTTGTCCATATTAAAAGTTTGCTGGGGAAGACATTCCTCGGTCTTGATGAGATTTTCAAATTCAACTTTAAACTTTTTGGCATCTTCCATGTCTGAACTGGCTGCCTCCCCATGACGAATCACTTCTTTTCCTGAACTTTTCGAACCGTCCTCTGCTTGCTTTAAAATCAAACTCTTCAGGAGCAATGCCAGCATCCTTTTTTTTATATATTTTTTTTATTTATTTATTTTTTTAACCAAATCTCCATACAATTGTCTTGTTTTGCCACAAATCGTATCTTGGCTAAAACTGTCCCCTGCTAGCTGTTTCTTATTTCTGAAAATAAGCAAACGTTTCTCAACTTCCTCTAATATTTGTGGCCTTTATTCACTAAACACACGAGATCCTTCAGCCACATCACTGACTTTATGATGGTCTTTCTTTTTAGGATGCTGCTGATTTCGGCATGCCGAACTCCTTAGCCAACACACACATGCACACCTGATTCATATTTCACTATCAAATCTTTCTTAAATTCAATAGTTTTGCGTACTATTTTCCTCTTTTTTCAGCAGCTTTACTACTTCCACGTGCTTTCTTTGGTGCCATGCAGAAATAACAGTCCAATTTGCGTCGATCTCAACAAACACGTCTGCTTTTTAAAAAAAATCTTTATTGAACACGTCTGCTCAAAATGTTCGCTCTTTTTTAAAAAAAAATCTTTGAACACGTCTGCTCACAACAGAGGCGTCACTTCTTCGTCAACCCGAGGAAGCGTCACTTCCTCGTGTAAGGAAGTCGAGAGAAGTCGAGTGGTGCATTCAAATGCGCTCAGTTGGGTCGAGAACCGAATTTCGGTCCTAATCCGGGGCATATTTTGTCAAAAACCGATTTTGTCGAGAACAGAGACGTTCGAAAACCGAGGTTTGACTGTCATCATTAACTTTCACATTCCAAAAAAGGGTCATGATCATCACTGTGTTTCTGCACCTTCTCTTTTAACAACATTCAATGAATGTTTGCGTCCTGAGTACACAACCTGTTGAAGCTTTGTCAGTGGAATTCTTTGACATTTTTGATGTTTAACTTCAGCCGTTCAACAGTCAGGGGTTTATTTTGGCATCTTTGATGCTTCATAATGCGGCACACATTTGCTCTGGTCTCTAAGCAGGCCAGTCTATAATCCACATTCTTTTCCTACGAAGACATCTCGAGGATCCCTCTTTCGCCCTGAAGACACAACGTCCACAATTTCCCAAACAATTTGGAAATGTAAACTTGTTAGACCACAGAACACTGAGTAGAAGCTATCCCGGTTAAACGGCAATTGCCAACATCAAACCAAGGCCAATAGGACATTTCCAAGAACAAGAAGGGCAGGTAAATACATGGGTGTGAAGATGAATTAGGCGCAAAAGACCAAGGCCTTCCGATCAAACAGTCGACTCGCCTGACCTTGTATGAGGAATATGAAGCCCAGAGTGAGCAGGTTTGTTTTCAGCCCAGGGCAAATAAGATAAGATATCCTTTATTTGTCCCACACTGGGGAAATTTACAGTCTACAGCAGCAAGATTGTGGGTAGAAAGAAGAAAAACAAAGTGTTTGCATTCACAAAATAAATGTTGCAGTTTCAATGTACACCATTCAATTAAGTGCAATATAAATATAGATATAGATAAGGTGGCTGTGCTATTTACAATTGTTTTTCACATCATTTTATTTTTTATTCAGCAGCCTCACAGCAGTCGGTAGGAACGAGCGGCGGTATCTCTCCTTGCAGCGCGGGTGTAACAGTCTGGCTGAAGGAGCTACCTAGTGCTGTCAGGGCGGTCTGGAGGGTGTGGGAGGGACTGTCCATCATAGCTTTTAGCTTAGCTAGCATCCTCCTGTTGCCCACCTCCTCCAGAGTGTCTAGGGAGCAGCCCAGGACAGAACTGGCCCTCCTGACCAGTCGCTCCAGTCTCTTTCTGTCCCGGGCCGAGATGCTGGCCGACCAGCAGACAATGCCATAATGGATGGCCGAAGCCACCACCGAGTGATAGAAAGTCTTAAGGAGTGACCCCTGAAACCCAAAAGACCTCAGTTTCCTAATCAGGGCGTCCGTGTTAGTAGACCAGTCCAGTTTATTGTTTAGAAGAACACCTACGTACTTGTAGGAGGTCACCCTCTCTATGTCCATACCCTGGATGTTCATCAGTGCAGGTGAGGACTGTTTCCTGCAGAAATCCACAACCAACTCCTTAGTTTTCCTAGGGTTGATCTGGAGTTGATACTGCTGGCACCAGTCCACAAAGTCCTTCGTCAGTCGCTTGTACTCCCGCCTTGTACCCCCGATCGTCTCCCTCTGTAATGAGGCCTACAATCGCAGAGTCATCGGAGAACTTCTGAAGGTGGTAGTTTGGAGTGATGTGTCTGAAGTCCGAGGTGTAGAGGATGAACAGGAATGGAGCCAGAACAGTTCCCTGCGGCGCTCCAGTGCTGCAAAGAAGCCTGTCCGACTCACAGCTCTTTACCCTCACGTACTGCGGCCGGTTTGTGAGTTGGTCTGTAATCCATGCTGTGAGGTGGTGGTCCACTCAGGCGTTCTGCAGTTTTCCTCCCAGTAAGTTGTGCTGGATGGTGTTGAAGGCACTGGAGAAATCAAAGAACATGATTTTCACAGTGCTCCCAGCCTTGAGCACTGAGTGGAGGAGGTAGATAAATGGCGTCCTCCACGCCGACGCCAGGCTGATAGGCAAACTGCAGCGGGTCCAGTGCCGAGCTCACCAGCGGTCGAAAGTAGGCGAGGACGAGTCTCTCCAACGTCTTCATCAGGTGAGACCTCAGCGCCACCGGTCTGTAGCTGTTCAGCTCCCTAGGGTGGGGGTTCTTAGGCACTGGGACCAGGCACGAAGTTTTCCACAGCTGTGGAGCTCTGCCCAGCTTCAGGCTCAGGTTGAACATTTGCTGGACAATGTCACCCAGCTGGTCAGTGCAGGTCCTGAGGAGCCGGGAACTGATCTTGTCCGGACCTGCTGCCTTCCTCACATTCATCTTCCTCAGTTGGTTCCTCACCTGCTCTGTTGTGACGGACGGATGTGAGGAAATACCCTAAAATGGCGCGACAATGGGTGTCTCAGTAGTGAAGGCTGGCTGAGCGTTTCCATCATCCTCTTTGTTGGGAGGATGGGCAATCATCCGTTTCATGCACAGGAGTTCGGTGACCTCTCACTTGACGGCCGAGGATAAAATCGCCGAAATGCCTGGTCGGCGGTGTCACCATGCATCCATTTTGCATCAGTCCGTCTAAGATGAGCTCGGGCCCACAGTAGCCTGCAGCGTTTCTCAGTGTTGATAAATGACTTTTGCTTTATGTAGAAGGGTTTTTAAGTTGCACGTACGGATATAACACCGAACTGTATTGAATGATATTGTTCCTGAGCCCATGTGGTGATACCATTTAAACATTAATGCAGTGCTGCCTGAAGGATCAAAAGTCACGTGCTTTCAATATTTCTTTTTGGCTTGCACCTGACATCCCGTGATTTTTCTAGATTGCTTAATAACCTGTTTGACTATTTTCTCTTGCAGTTGTTCACAAAGAGGTGAATGTCGCTCCATTTATAACCAATCGTGGCACTCATCCAGTTTGCCTCTTCACCTGTGGGATTTTTCAAATAGATATTTGATAAACATTCTTTTTGCCACCGCTCCCTGCTTTTTTGAGATGTGTTCCAGCCATAAAATTCGAATGTAATGTTTATTTTTCTAAAAAGAATAGTTTATCAGTTTAAACATTCAATATCTTTTTGGTATATTCAACTATGTATACATTGAACATGATTTGCAAATCAGTGTCCGTCCATCCATCCATTCATCTGGAGTGAAATGAGGTACAGAGCGGCGGTGAGCAATGGAGGAGATGGGGTGCACAGGATTTTCTGGATAAGGGATCTGAGGAGAGCGTTTCATTTTGGACTGTGTGGTGGATGGCGTAGAAGTTGTAGGCACCCCAGCAAGAGGAGCGCAGTCACGGAGATTGAGGAAGATTGAGGATGTCAAAGGTGTTTTTCAGCTTGATATTGAACTGCGGGGAGTGGGGGGGGATGTGTGTCTTTCCACTGTGATGAACCAGAGACCAGTACACAGGCTCGCGTGGGGTGGAGCAGGACATGGACTTGGGCTTGGGCTTGGGCTTGGGCTTGGCACCCGGTCGTCTCCTGGTGTCATCTGGATCTGCAAGAGGCAGGTTTGTTGGCAGCAGCGGTGTCGGTGAAAGATGGAGACTCTGGTCGTCCAGGAGCAAAGATGATTGTGTCCATACGCAGCTCAGCATCACGGATTTGGGTGAGTGTGGAGATTTTCTGCTCCAGCTCAGCTATCTTCTCGGCAAGGTGGGTGCAGCTGCTGCAGCCGGAAGGAGGGGCAAGAAGAGGCATGAGTAGAGTTTGGTGTAGGTCAACTGGTGGATTGGCTAGCAGCAGGTGGTTTGGTTAGCAGCAGGAGGTTCGACTAGCAGTAGGAGGTTTAGCTAGTAGCAGGTCATTTGGCTAGCAGCAGGTCGTTTGTTTTTCACCGCTGAGGCTCGCTCGCTAGTTTGTGCTCTCTCTTGCTGTTCGCCGTCGCTCGGTAGCTCGCTAGCTGGTGCTCTCTCTTGCCGTTCACCGCCGAACGGTAGCTCACTAGCTGGTGCTTTCTCTCGCCGTTCGCCATTGCTTGCTTGCTCGTGCACTCTCTCGCCAATACAGTTTATTCATAAGCGCCTTTCAGAACACTCAAGGACACTTTACAATCAAGTACAAAACAAAGAATAAAATCACAGAATTATAAATAATAAAGAACAGATCAATTTCAATTGAGTATCTTAATTTTAGTAGGTGGGTTTTGAGATGGGATTTGAATGTGGGAAGAGAATCAATATCACGGATGTTGGGTGGAAGTGAGTTACAGAGTTTGGGGGCAGATTGGCTAAAAGCTTTGCACCCCGTCGTGCTGAGACGGGCAGAGGGTGCACAGAGGTGGAAGGATTAGAACCTGAGGGAATGTGAGGGAACGGAAATTTGAAGATCAGACATCTGTCTGATCTTAGTGGGGCCATGTCACATTGCAAGGTGGTGGTGGACCCCAAAAAGCAGGCAAGAGAGAGGAGCAGGGTGTACTTGACAAATTGTATTAAAACAGAGAAAACTAAATCCTAAACAGAGTCCTGAAAACAAAACAAAGCCAAAGTATCAAACAAAAACCATGGCAGAAGCTCAAAACTAATAGTAACAGAAACATGATCTAAACATGACTGACAAACATGACAGCAGCAAAGAGCAACAAACAAACAATGACCCGACAATGAGTAGTCGGCCAGGAGTCCTTTTTTAGCCACTAATTACCTAACAACCAACAGGTGTGCAGTTGCAGGGAAAAGCCACACAGTGCCACCTGTTGGTCACAAACCGAAATATGACAGGCCAAGGTTAAGGATGGCTTTAAATGTATAGAGAAACATTTTGTAATTAATTCTAAGTTTGACAGGGAGCCAGTGGAGCTGTCGGAGAATGGGGGTGATGTGATGAAAGGAGGGGGTTCTCGTGATGATCCGGGTTGAAGAATTCTGAACCACTTGAAGTTTATGGAAGAATTTGTGATCGACACCAAAAAGAAGTGAATTGCAATAGTCAATACTGGAGGTGATGAGACTGTGGACAAGGATCGCAGTGGTGTGACGGGTGAGAGAGGGACCGAGACGATTGATATTACGTAGGTGGAAATATGCGGACCGGGTTATGTTATTGATGTGGGAGTGGAAAGATAGTGAGCTATCGAGGATGACACCCAGGCTCTTAACCAGAAGGGAGGGGGACACAGTGGAGCTGTCAATTGTGAAGGAGAAGCTGTCGGCTTTGTGTTGGGTGGATTTGGTACCGACGAGGAGGAGTTTTGTTTTATCGCTGTTAAGTTTGAGGAAGTTATGGGTAAACCAACATTTGATTTCTGAGAGGCAGCGTGAGAGGGAGGAGGCTGGGAGGGAGGCGTCGGGTTTGCTGGAGAGGTAGAGCGGGGTGTCATCCGCAAAGCAGTGAAAGTGTACATCAAAATTACGGAAAATATTGCCAAGGGGGAGAAGGTAGATAACGAAGAGGAGGGTCCCAGGACAGAGCCCTGGGGCACACAAGAAGAAACGAGGAGGGACTGTGAAGTGAAGGAATTGAGTTGGATGAACTGAAAGCAGCCAGTGAGATAAGAGTGAAACCAGCGTAGGGGGGGTGTGGGTGATGCCTATGGTGGAGAGTCTTTTAAGGAGGATGGGCTGAGAAATGGTGTCAAAAGCTGCACCTATGTCGAGGAGGATGAGGATGGAGATTAAACCGGAGTCTGCTGCCATGAGAAGGTCATGAGTGATTTTTATGAGGGCTGTTTCTGTCCTGTGACGGGGACAGAAACCAGACTGGAACCGTTCATAGGAACTATTGTTCGCGAGGTGGGAGAGAAGCCGAAAGGCAACAATTTTTTTCAAGAATTAGGAGACAAATCCTGGGGGAGTAGAGTCATTGAGCAGGGAAAAGTTGCTCAGAGTTTGTCAAGTCTCATTCAAACATAAAAAGTCAAGTTTACGGTCATTGAGGATATCTTGGACAAGATAACCTTTCCCAGTAAGCGAACGGATGTTGCGTAGTCCGAAGTTGACGCTGGCAATATCGCTGTTGCGAGGACCATTAGCAGACCTAGCCAGGCCGGCTAACACACTATGGAACACGGACCGGCTGGTGTTTCTGTGTGCCCGGTGGGAGGATGACCAAAAGGACGCGATGCCTTTGGAGCCATCGAGTTGGAAGCCCCGACGAGACCCACGGTGGATGTATTTCCGGGAAGGAAGGAGAGCGATGTCTGAGAAGTGGTGTAGAGCCCAACAACTGAGAGCGGAGCATGAGAATCTCTGCCAGAGTACTGTTGCAGTCCTTCCACAGGTCGATGGAGGTGCTGTAGCGACATCACGTCTCTACAGAGCGACAGGATAGTCCATAATAGTATGGCCCAGACATAGGCCCTGTTGACCGTTATCATGGGGTCCAGAGGAGTGGAGATGGCACGGGGCCTGGTCTGAGAGCCGAACAGGTAGACACTGTGACAACGCGATAGAAAACAGTCGTATGACGATTGAGGGTTTTGAATCAAAATGGATTGGGATAGGAGTGTAAGGTTTTTCGTATGAAGACAGGCAACAGTAAAACATAAAATACACAAAAAAATCGCGGGTGAGCAGCGGCAGCCAGACGCGCCAGCATTCACTCAGACCTTATGAGTAGACCTTATCAGGTAGGCTGAGGAATTATTCCTCTGTCATTGGAATACACCCTCCGGTCCCTCTTCTTGAAAAGATGAACCACCACCCCGGTCTTGCAATCCAGAGGCACTGTTCCCCTATGTCAATGCGATGTTGTACAATGCATGTCAACCAAGGCACCTCCACAACATCACTCCTTAAAGTTAAGTCATTAATTCGTAAAAGTGCTCTGCAGAAAATAATTTTGAGCCCTGCTTTTGTTTGATTAGTGTCTCTATTGTACTATATTTATTTTCAACCATACACACGTTAGAAAAATAAATAAAAGATAAAGAAAGAAAATCATAAAAGGTGAATCCAGTTTGCGGGCTAGAACGGATTAATTGCATTTCTTTTCATTCAATGGGTAAACTTTAATCTACCAACTTTTCCATTTATCAAAGGGGTCAAGTTTGTAACTTGACGTGTCATTGTATTTGGAAGTAGTAACCAAAATAAGGCATTATTTTAGCCACGGTATTACAGACATGTACACACCCCTTTAAACCTGCTTCCATTACTATCACCGTTTCCACAGAACTTTGTGACAGTACTCGATGGAAAATTGGCTTTTTTTTTTTTTTACAGGTTTATTTGTGAAAATATTACTGCCAATTTAATCATACCAATTGACAACCTTTTTGCTGTTCCTCTTGTTTGAGAGATGTATGACCATTGATATTTCTGCAGGAATCATTGCTGTAACAGACTTCAGCTGCTGACTGAGAAAGAAACCCTTCAACAAGAACCAACATGAATCTCCCGCACCCTGCTCCCCAAATACCACCTGTTCACCCTGATGTGCAGATGAAATCTCTGG